CATGTCTCATTTATTTAGATGATATTATTGTCTTCAGCCGCACATTTGATGAGCATTTATTGCGGTTGGAGGCCGTTTTTGCCAGAATGCGTTCTGCTAATTTGAAATTCAAGCCTAAGAAATGTCATCTACTGCAACGTTCCGTTCGATACTTGGGACATATTGTTAGTGCGGACGGGGTGGCCACGGATCCAGAGAAAACTGCGTGTGTCCGGGATTGGGCAACCCCCGCCACGGTGGGTGATGTGCGTCGGTTTTTGGGGTTCGCCTCATATTACCGGAGGGTTGTTCCGAATTTCGCTACTATCGCCAGGCCTTTGCATCTCCTTACTGGGAAGGGGCACAAATTTGTGTGGGGACCGCCGGAGGAGGCGGCGTTTCGGAGCCTGCGCGACCTACTGGCTACTGCGCCGACGTTGGATTATCCGGATTTTGAACATCCCTTCATTCTGGATACTGATGCGAGTGACACCGGGATTGGGGCGGTGTTGTCCCAGTCAAAAGGTGGTGTTGAGCGTGTGGTGGCGTACGGGAGTCGGGTTTTGTCTCCCGCGGAAACTCGTTACTGCGTCACTCGCAGGGAACTTTTGGCTATTGTGTATTTTCTCCGCCAATTTCGACCGTATCTGTACGGTCGGTCGTTTATTGTCCGAACGGACCATGCGGCCTTGCAGTACGCTCTTAAGATGGACCAGCCATCCGGACAATTGGCGAGATGGCTGGACACGTTGCAAGAATTCTCCTTCCAAATTCACCATCGGAAGGGTGTGCGTCACGCTAACGCGGACGCACTGTCCAGGTTGCCGCAACAATCCCCTTGTGCGTGTGCGTCGGGGACGCATAGGTGTGGACCGGCTCAGCCCCCCCCTCAGCCTGTCGCGCGGGCAGTGGATGTTCTCGAACCTCCGCTTACACCGGGACCGGTTGAAGGGGGACCGGCTGACGGGATTTTGCGTCTTCCAAGGTCTGTGTGGATTCGGGAGCAAATGTTGGACGATTCTTTGGTGTCGTTACGGAAACGAACGGAGAAGGCGGGTAAGGAAGTCGGTGCGGGTGGTAATTCGGAAACTGCTCTCCGAGATGGGTTACTGATATGGAGGGAAGGGATACAGGAACACTGGCGTCTCGTTGTGCCTGCGTCATTGCGCTATGAGTTGATTAGATCTTTGCACTGTGACACACTTTTACACCTGGGGGTGCAGAAAACCCTATTGACGCTGCAACGAGACTATTATTGGCACGGCATGACGACGGATGTCGTCGGTCACGTTCGCGCGTGTCCCGATTGTGCCCGCCGTAAGCCGCCTAAACATCCATATGTTCCGCCGATACAATCGATTAAAGTATCTCGGGTTAATGAGTTGGTGGCGTTAGATATTTTGGGACCCTTTCCGCCATCAGCTAAAGGAAATAAGTATTTACTGGTGGGGGTGGAGTACCTCTCTCGCTGGCCGATGGCCTGGCCCTTGCCTGACCAGTCAGCGGCGTCTATCACGGACGCCTTTCTATTTGGGTATGTAATGGACAAAGGGGCTCCGGAGAGGCTCCTTACGGATCAGGGACGTAACTTTTCGTCTAAATTGTTGGGGGAGGTGTGTGCGGCTCTTGGAACTAAAAAGATACGGACGTCCCCCTACCACCCGCAAACGGATGGTATGGTGGAACGGTTGAATCGGACTCTGTCCGCCATGCTGTGCCATACAGTCGGGGAAAACCAATCTGATTGGGATTTGCATATCCCTGGGGTGCTTTCGGCGTATCGCATGACGCCGCACGCGGCTACTGGATACTCGCCGTTTTTCCTTATGTACGGCCGTGAGAACGTGCCGCCGATTCATGACCAGTTGGGAACCGGTGCGAGGGGGCCTGTTAAGCCTCTTCCTGAGTATATTAAGGACAACGTTCGGCGTGTCGCTGAGGCGAGGGAAAATGCCCGCATGGCTACTGCCAAGGCTCAGGCCAGGAATGAGCGGTGTGCCCGACGTTCAAAGGGGGAGTGTCCCTGGAAAAAGGGGGACCTGGCCTGGCTTCATTGCCCACAGGTGCGGCCAGGTACATCTCCTAAATTACATCGACCTTGGCAGGGTCCGGTCCGCCTCATTGAGGTTCCCAACCCACAGTCGGCGCGTGTTCAGGTTGGTGCACGGCGTTGGTTCGTGCACACGTCCCGGTTGAAGCCATACATTGCCCCGCGGCCGGATGCGTCATCTCCCCAAGTTGCCTTGCCGGGGTCTGTTGCTGCCGACTCGCCCTTGCCTGTGTCTGCTGACCTTGCGAGAGCGCCTGTCGTACCCTTCACAGACAAGCCGGCCGTGACAGCGCAGGGAGGAGGACCTTCCGCTTGTGGGACGCCGACCGGAGCCGCAGAACCCACGGGACCTGCAGCTCTTCCTATCCCTCCGCGGACGCGAGTACGGGATGTTTCTGGACGCGAGCGGGACAGTGGCGGGCCTCCAATGGCGACGGAAGAACTTGCGCCCGTCGCCCCTAAAACCCTTCCACGTTCCCGCTCGGCGGGTGGGCCGCCGACCGTCCGGGACGGCCCGGCTACCCGTACTCGCTCGAAATCCCTCACGTTTCGTTAGATTGTGTTGTGTTGTGTTATTGTTATAATGTTCTTCAATGCTTCGTGTCTTTTTGCGTGTTGGCCCTTTACACCCGCATTGCTTTTCAGGTTGAAATTCAGCCGAGGTCGGCTGGATTTTCTTTAGGGGGGAGGGTGATGTAATGCGGTTGTAAACGGCCCTTCTGAGGTGCCGTCAGGGGGGGAGGAGTTAGGTCACGTGGGGGGAGAGGGGTTGAGTATAGAAGGAGGGGAACCGGGAGAGCAGGGGAAGTGACTGGGAGCCAGGAACAGAGGAAGGCCACGTAGGGCGAAGCGGGGTGTGGCGAGATCGCCACGAACACGAGAGAAGCGAGGATCGGCACCGTTGGCCAGCGGTGACCGACCCGAAGCAGCAAGGAGGCTGCAGTCAGCAGCGGGGCTGCACAGAGAGAGTGGGCAGCGGGTCTGCATACAGTGACAGCCAGAGGGTCTGCACATAGGGGTAGCAGCGAGTCTGCAGGGAGGAGGTTACAGTAGATGAAGCAGAGAGTCAGAGGGGTGAGGAAGCTATAATAGCAGTGAATAGCCGGGGGCTACAAATACAGGAGTTATAACAGAGTGCCGTGTGGGTAAAGACGTGAACCTGAATAAAGACACGAAGACAGAAAGAAGTGTTCGAGTCCTTTTATTACAGATGTACTGTGTACTGTGGTGGATGTACTGTGTACTGTGGTGGATGTACTGTGTACTGTGGTGGATGTACTGTGTACTGTGGTGGATGTACTGTGTACTGTGGTGGATGTACTGTGTACTGTGGTGGATGTACTGTGTACTGTGGTGGATGTACTGTGTACTGTGGTGGATGTACTGTGTACTGTGGTGGATGTACTGTGTACTGTGGTGGATGTACTGTGTACTGTGGTGGATGTACTGTGTACTGTGGTGGATGTACTGTGTACTGTGGTGGATGTACTGTGTACTGTGGTGGATGTACTGTGTGTACTGCGGTTGTACGTATTGTGTGCAACGCCTGTGATTACGTGTGCGGTGTGTAGTTTGTACTGTGTATACTGTTGTGTAGCGTGGTGCATGTACTCTGTGTGTACTGCATGCACTTTGCTGTGGTGCACGCAGTGCGTACTGCACGTGCAGTGTGTACTGCAGTGTGCACAGTACACGCAGTGGGTACTGTACGCACTGTGTTCAATGCGTACACTGTACTGTACGTACAGTGGGTGCAATGCATACACTGTACTGTACGTGCTGTGGGCAATGCATGCACTGTACTGTACGTGCGGTGGGCAATGTATACACTGTACTGTACGTACTGTGCAATGCATACACTGTACGTACTGTGTGTAATGCATACACGGTACTGTATGTACTGTATGTAATGCATACACTGTACTGTATGTACAGTGTATGCAATGCATAAACTGTACTGTGTATACTGCATGTGCTGTGTGTGCTGTGTGTACTGCGTGTACTGTGTATACAGCATGTACTGTGTGTACTGTGTATACAGCATGTACTGTGTGTACTGCATGTACTGTGTGTACTGTGTATACAGCATGTACTGTGTGTACTGCGTGTACTGTGTATACAGCATGTACTGTGTGTACTGTGTATACAGCATGTACTGTGTGTACTGTGTATACAGCATGTACTGTGTGTACTGCGTGTACTGTGTGTACTGCATGTACTGTGTGTACTGTGTATACAGCATGTACTGTGTGTACTGTGTATACTGCATGTACTGTGTGTACTGTGTGTACTGTGTATACAGCATGTACTGTTTGTACTGTGTATACAGCATGTACTGTGTGTACTGTGTATACAGCATGTACTGTGTGTACTGTGTATACAGCATGTACTGTGTGTACTGTGTATACAGCATGCACAGCATGTACTGTTTGTACTGTGTATACAGCATGTACTGTTTGTACTGTGTATACAGCATGTACTGTGTGTACTGTGTATACAGCATGTACTGTGTGTACTGTGTGTACTGTGTATACAGCATGTACTGTGTGTACTGTGTATACAGCATGTACTGTGTGTACTGTGTATACAGCATGTACTGTGTGTACTGTGTATACAGCATGTACTGTGTGTACTGTGTATACAGCATGTACTGTGTGTACTGTGTATACAGCATGTACAGCATGTACTGTTTGTACTGTGTATACAGCATGTACTGTGTGTACTGTGTGTACTGTGTATACAGCATGTACTGTGTGTACTGTGTATACAGCATGTACTTTGTGTACTGTGTGTACTGTGTATACAGCATGTACTGTGTGTACTGTGTGTACTGTGTATACAGCATGTACAGCATGTACTGTGTGTACTGTGTGTACAGCATGTACTGTGTATACAGTATGTACTGTGTGTACTGTGTATACAGCATGTACTGTGTGTACTGTGTGTAGTGCGATGATTGTGCGTCGCTTACTGTCGAACAATGGTGATCGTGAACTTCATGCTGCTGCTGATGATAATAAACTCGCCTTCCCAGTGCTGCACACACACACACACAAAGATAAAGGTCCCCCGTGTAGCCTTAACAGACTGTAGGGGCAAGTGCTGTTAGCGAGCACCTATGAAGGCCGGCACTGTGGCACACGAGGGGGTGGGTGGCCAGCACCACGCCCGACCGCCTTTGTCTCCCCAGTGACGATTTTTACACACCGCACCGGGTACTCATTTGAGGCTGAGTCGACCTAGGGGAGGCGCAGGACCGGTTCAGGTAATTGCCACTGGTGGTGGCCGTGAGCGGGAATTGAACTCGGGTGGTCGGTTTTGTAGTGCAGGGTAGCGCTAACAGCTACACTACCGCTCCCCACACACACACACACAGGTACAACAACAACCGCCATTCGCCACTAAGTGGCGGTGACGTCACCACGATGCTTGTGCCAGGCCAAGTGCACCTTGAGGCCACGTGAAGTGTCGAAAGCCCGCTGGCAGGAGGTCACGGGGCAGACCCAGGTGCCACTGGTCGACTGACCGAGATGACCGAGATGACTGGCTGATGCACCACCTGTGCCCCCTACTGTGCCAACTTGCTGTGCTTTAGCCACCCGGCGCTCCGCTCGTTGTTGTGAGCGTCGCTCCTCCGCCCTCCGTTGTTGTTGGAGGGCGACTGCCTCCAACTGCCCAGTAGCGTCCTTCACGAGCCTCCTCCACTGAGGCCGATCTTGACACCGCTGGTACCAGTCATCGGCAAGTCCACTCAGCTCCACGTCCTCCTGTACCACATCACTCCATCTCTTCTCCAGCCCGTGCCGCGCCCGTCTAGCCCCCTCGATCCGGCCGAACAAAAGCTGTTTAGGCATGCGGTGGCTGGGCATGCGGGCTACATGACCCAGCCAACGCAGCCTTGCCTGCCGGAGGAGCTCACCGATGGGGACTTTGCCCAGATCTTTCAAGGATTTGTGAGCTCCTCACACGATCCAGCCTGGTTAAACCCAGGATGGATCGTAGGCAGGCCAACCTCCTCGCGGTGCCGGACGGGCAACACTGTCGTGGGCAGTGATGTGGGGGGAGGGCCAATGCCCATTGGCCTCTCCCCTCATGGCGTCTGTGACCACCACAGTGGCTAAACGGGGGCTCTGGACGGGTGTGAGGGGCTGGTAACCCCTCCACCTTCAATTCATTACCACTAAACCACGAATTAAACACAGGTACACACACATAGGTACACACACACACAGGTACACACACAGGTACACACCCACACGTACACACACAGGTACACACACACAGGTACACACACACAGGTACACACACACAGGTACACACACAGGTTACACACACAGGTACACACACACGTACACACAGGTACACACACACAGGTACACACACACAGGTACACACACAGGTACACACACAGGTACACACACCCACAGGTACACACACACACAGGTACACACACACAGGTACACACACGTACACAAACAGGTACACCCACACGTACACACACACAGGTACACACACACACACAGGCCACTACTAACTGAAGCCCGCGACGACCCGTGGCCAATTAACCGCGAGATCACCACCACCACCACCCACTACCACTAACCACCAACACCCACCACCACCCACCACCACCACAACCACCACAACCACCACCACCACAACCACCACAACCACCACCACCACCACAACCACCACCACCACCACCACCACAACCACCACCACCACAACCACCACCACCACAACCACCACCACCACCACAACCACCACTACCACTACCACCACAACCACCACCACCACCACAACCACCACCACCACAACCATCATCAACACCACCAACACCGCCAACACAACCACCACCACCACCACAACCACCACCACCACCACAACCACCACCACCACCACAACCACCACCACCACCGACTCACCCTGCGACTGTCTCCGCACTGTGCCGAGCCGGCGGAGCCGTCAACGAACACGGCGCCCAGATGACGTCACCGGGCAATTCCCCCCGCCCCCTTTCAGCCCCGCCCCCTCTCAGCCCCGCCCCTCTCAGCCCCGCCCCCCTCTCAGCCCCGCCCCCTCTCAGCCCCGCCCCCTCTCAGCCCCGCCCCCTTCTCAGCCCCGCCCCCTCTCAGCCCCGCCCCCTCTCGGCCCCGCCCCCTCTCAGCCCCGCCCCCTCTCAGCCCCGCCCCCTCTCAGCCCCGCCCCCCTCTCAGCCCCGCCTCCCTCTCAGCCCCGCCCCCCTCTCAGCCCCGCCCCTCTCAGCCCCGCCCCCCTCTCAGCCCCGCCCCCTCTCAGCCCCGCCCCCTCTCAGCCCCGCCCCCCCTCAGCCCCGCCCCCTCTCAGCCCCGCCCCCTCTCAGCCCCGCCCCCCTCTCAGCCCCGCCTGCGGAATCGATCCAAGAATCTCTTTGTGTTTATGGTCGGCGACTTCGATTCCGAAGGTTCGGTATCGTGGGGTCGTGATGGGGTTGAATCGATCCAGACATTGGGCAACCGATTCGATCCGCGAGAGGAGGTGAAATTGCGGTTCTCCGGCGATTCGATCCGTGTCGCTTCTGCGTATGGGGCCGGCCATAAATGACGTCACGCACCTAGCGGGGAGGGGGGGTCAGATGTGTGACGAGGGGAGGGGGTGAGAAATGTGACGTCACATCAAAATGCGCAACTTTAAATAAATACAGACAACACGTTCTGCTTAATTAAATAGACTTTTTAATAAATGTTTTCTCCTACAACATCAGAGTGCAGCGCCACATTAAATGCACACTACAATGAGAATAGTTTAAAGCGATTTGAAGCATGTTTTATTTTTGGGGGGGGGGGCAGAGCTTTGTGACGTCATATTTGAGGGGGGAGGGTCTGACTTTTTGTGACGCCGTATGACGAAGGGGGGGGGGGTCAAAAATCGTCCAAAATCGCGTGACGTCATGTATTCCCTCTTCACCCTTCTACTCTTACGTGTTCCCACAGTGACCCCGCGTTCGTCACGGGGTCCCCCCTTAAGAATTAGAGACATGACGTCATCGAGCCGCCCAGCGCGCATGACGTCACGTTCCGCGACGTGTTCGCACTGGACGGCACACATGACGTCACGTCCCCATTTTACTCCTCTACACATGTGTAATGCGGGCGTAAATGACCTTCCGGATGTGACGTCACGAGGGGGAGGAGTTACGTCACGTGGGGGTAAGGGTTCAGGTCTTAAAGGGGAGAAACCGGAAGAGGAGGGGAGTGATCGAGGACTGGGCTAGAGTGGGGCCACGCAGGGCGAGAGCTGGGGGTGGCGAGATCGCCACACACGCACAGAGTACGGTCGGCACCGTCGGCCAGCGGTGACCGACCCCGGAGGAACCAGGAGCAGCCGAGGGGGCTGTAACGAGAGCAGCCGGAGCGGCTGCCCGAGAGGACCAGCAGCGGGGCTGCCTACGAGAGGGAGAGACAGCAGCCAGAGAGGCTGCAGCGGGAGCAGCCGGAGAGGCTGCCCGAAGAGTCCAGCAGCGGGGCTGCTGGAGAAAGGAGAGAGAGGCTACAGCAGCGACAACAGCGTCGGCCGCAGAGCGGAGAGTCTATGCGAGAGAGCCGTGTGGGGAAAGAGGAGGCGAACCCGAATAAAGGACACCAAGCCAGATACCGTAGTCGAGTCCTTTATTACACATGTACCAAATAATAATTGGATTGAAACGAGGGAATAAGAAATTTGGAAGATAACAGCAGCACGGACGAGGCCGGGCGTAACGGATACAAAAGACTGGCACATTTAAATTCCTCCAAACTTTTGAAAATGAACTCCTGTCGATTCCAAACATGTTATAAGGTGTGGACACTAAACACGGGGAATGGCTTTAAAAGTTTTATAATCTCCTGCAGATGTAGATGCCACTGGTTCTTCATGTTCTGCAGATGTAGATGCCACTGGTTCTTCACGTTCTTCAGATGTAGATGCCACTGGTTCTTCACGCTCTGCAGATGTAGATGCCACTGGTTCTTCACGTTCTGCAGATGTAGATGCCACTGGTTCTTCACGTTCTGCAGATGTAGATGCCACTGGTTCTTCACGTTCTGCAGATGTAGATGCCACTGGTTCTTCACGTTCTGCAGGTGTAGATGTCACTGGTTCTTCATGTTCTGCCGATGTAGATGCCACTGGTTATTCACGTTCTGTAGATGTAGATGCCACTGGTTCTTCACGTTCTGCAGATGTAGATGCCACTGGTTCTTCACGTTCTGCAGATGTAGATGCCACTGGTTCTTCACGTTCTGCAGATGTAAATGCCACTGGTTCTTCACGTTCTGCAGATGTAGATGCCACTGGTTCTTCACGTTCTGCAGATGTAGATGTCACTGGTTCTTCACGTTCTGTAGATGTAGATGTCACTGGTTCTTCATGTTCTGCCGATGTAGATGCCACTGGTTCTTCACGTTCTGTAGATGTAGATGTCACTGGTTCTTCATGTTCTGCCGATGTAGATGCCACTGGTTCTTCACGTTCTGCAGATGTAGAGGCCACTGGTTCTTCACGCTCTGAAGACATATATTCCACTGGTTCTTCACGTTCTGCAACTGAACGTAACGGACCAGGTTTGTTTGTATTTCTGAAAGTTCGTAAGTCGAATGTTCGTAAGTAGAGGAGTCCCTGTACGTACATATCTTGGCATGTTATGCCATTCAAAAAAACACATTACTTTTAGCCCTTAGAGTTATAGGACGGTTGCGAGAAGTGTATGACAATCACAGTAGTGTCTTATTGTCCGTTGTTGGAGGGCAAGTGGTTCTCTATACTCGTCTGGTCAATGAATGGACAGAATAATTACGTGCAGGCGTATGGTGCTAATCAACTGGCGGTCCAAGAACTTTTGGACCATAATCGTGTGCTGTTATGTAAGTGCAGCAGCAGAGCACGATCCAATTGACCGCAGATGTCAATTTCGCAAAGTTACGGGGAAATGAATACCGTATTACACAGCGCTGACTACTGTCCAGCAGCAGCAAGTGCGGTGGACAGTTAGCGCACACGCCGTAGAGCATATACACGGGTGTGCCGGCAGGGTGGAGGAACGGGGGCAAGGGTCATGGTAGACCGGGTGGGGAGGCCCCTTGAACCCTCTGGTGGGTTCGAGAAGGGAGGCGCGGCTAGGGCGGAGCCAAGCCGCGCCGAGGGGAATAAAAGCAGCGGAGAGCGAGAGCTCCGGGCTGGACTCGTCTCGTTGTCGCCGCCTTCATCGCTGCCACCTTCGCCTGATCATTGCGCGGCCGGACAGTAGTTGGCTGTCTCGGTCGACGCCTTCCGTGCAACGCGGATAGGGTCGTGTCTAGGCCGGGCCGTATGGCAGCGTGGTCGTGAGAGAGAGGAGGCCGGAGTTGGGGTGAACGGGTAAATAAATAGAGAGACGGTGGCTCCTGCAACTACCTCGTCTCCGAATGAGTGTGTGCGCCGCACACCGCATGCACACAGGGAGGAAGGAGGACAGTACACATGTATGTATGTATGCATGACGTGTGTATGACATGCGTGTATGACATGTGCATCCCCGTATGTTTTTTTTGTCATCACGAATTTCGCCGCCCACTCCACACACTTTTATCTATTGTGCTCTTTGGGGGAGAGGGGTGGTGGGGGGCAGGAACTATTCCTTACGTTTGACAAGTAGTATGGTTTTTCGCGGCCAAATATTATTCGTAAAAAAGGATTGTTTTTGTTTTGCTGTGCGGTTAGATCCCTTAAAAATAAATTTTGGCAGCAAAAAAAAATCGCCCAAATGATGCTTGCGAAACACCACGCTGCTCACATTGTAATTGTCGTGGGTTCACTCTCCAACACACCGACCGATGTGTGGACTGAAAGTAGAAACGATCTGGCACGTTCTGTGTACGTGACAAACCTTGGCAGGGTGCTTTAAAACATTTTTGTTTTACACTTCTGAGAATTTGCAACAACACCACGAGAAGTGATGCCTCCGGGCTCTGGAGACCACCTGGAGATTCACCATTGGTACCTCATTTGCAGGTAAAAATGTATGATAATTGTTTTTTTACCCTCTTATCTGGCAACAGAACTGACACCTTTTTTACGAGGAGTCATGTTTGCATAGACCACAATACCTGCAGTCATAATGCAAAAAAAACATAACTCTGATAATGTGAGACTAGGCTCTAAAGAGAGCTGTCTCGGGTATGGACCAATCAACTTCAAGGACAGTGCATACATTATCAGAGTTATGTTTTTTTTTGCATTATGACCGCAGGTATTGTGGTCAATGCAAACATGACTCCTCGTAAAAAAAGGTGTCAGTTTTGTTGCCAGATAAGAGGGTAAAAAACCAATTATCAAGTGGGATTCTTTGACTTTTTAAGCTATTAACATGTTATAGTTTTGACTTAAAACTTTCGTTACTGTGGGAATTCATTTTCTTTGGTTCTTTCAGTAAAGTCACGTAGATAGAGAAAATAACAAAAATAAAAGGTAAAAACCACGACGTTTCAATCGCAACACAAGCGGTCGTCATCAGGAAAAGGGGGTTAGCCTCTCAAGGCAAACTGTTTATGAAGGTTTAAAATTGGCGTAGCATAAGTGTTAAAAAAGCGTTTATTTTTAGTATTTTTCTACCTATGTGACTTTACCGAAAGAACCAAAGAATATTTGTTATCATGTTACAGTTGTAGTATTCATCTTCTTGGTTCTTTCGGTAAAGTCACGTAGAAGGGAAATAATAAAATAATAAAAATTAAACATAGTAAAATACAATTCTCACGACGTTTCGGCTGCTTGCGTTGTGGCCGAAACGTCGTGAAAATTATTTTATTATGTTTTATTTTTATTATTTTATTACTTCCCTTCTACGTGACTTTACCGAAAGAACCAAGAAGATGAATCCCTGCAGTCACGAAAGCTTGAAATCGAAAGTTGTAGTATTATCCGTTCTTTTCCCGTTAAATACGATAGTCACCGTGGAAGATGCCCTCCGATCTTACATTGACATGCAAATTTCTCACATTAACATAACAAGCCCCACCCACTTTGTTTATGACCCTTGGGCTACACCCATTTCAAACCTTTAAAACAGCCTGCCTCAACCGCTTTCTCCCTCCTTTTTTCCTCCTGATGACGATGGCTTGTGTTGCGATCGAAACGTCGTAGTTTTTTGTTATTTTTTGTTATTTTCTTTGAACCTATCCACGTGACTTTACCGAAAGACCCAAGAATATCCCATATAAGTGTTAACATTTTTCGAAGCACCCTGTACTTACGCGATCTACCCCAACAAAAACCTTCTTCTTGGTTCTTTCGGTAAAGTCACGTAGAAGGGAAATAATAAAATAATAAAAATAAAACATAATAAAATAATTATCACGACGTTTCGGCCACAACGCAAGCAGCCGTCCTCAGGTGAAGAACAGGTCTGTCGGAAAGACAGCGTCCGAAACGTCGTGAGAATTATTTTATTATGTTTAATTTTTATTATTTATTATTTCCCTTCTACGTGACTTTACCAAAAGAACCAAGAAGATGAATCCCTGCGGTCACGAAAGCTTTAAATCGAAAAAACAAACACCTTTATTGTGATATTTTCCTTAATTATACGGATTTTTTTTGGGTTAGATCGCGTAAATATAAATGTGTCGTTGAACCCTCCACCACCCGACACGGCCAATTAGTAAGGTATGTCACGTTAACATAACCTGACCAATTCGTTGCTCATACAGCAACACCGGTGTGTTGGAGAGCAAAACCACAACATTTACCATCTGAGTACGACGTTTCGTCAGTAATTACAACCAGCATCATCAGGCGGACAGCAAGATTTATTTACGCCAGAGGTGGGGAACGTCCGGCCCGCAGGCCATATAAGGCCCACAAAATCATTTGGTCTGGCCCTGCCAAAGCAACTGCACAACTCGAAATTCAATAAATCTCTGAGCTTTTTTCATAGCAACATAAATTCATTTTTTTTACGATCAGTGGAAACAAGAAGATGCTCGGTGTATTCGGCACTTTGCTTCGTTCATCATTTAGTTTTTTTTACTTTGCTTTATGTAAACCCCCACCTCTCGCTCACTCTCTTGCTCACTCTCTCGCTCACTCTCTCTCTCGCTCTCTCTCTCGCTCTCTCTCGTTCTGCACGCAGCCCTTCTCGCAGTTCGACGGCCTCCGACGGGTAGCTCATATCAGCATGCAGAGCTCCCCGTCATCTGCCACCGAGCACACGGCCTCCTCCATCGCCCACTGCTCCTTGAAGGCCGGCACGGCGTGGGTCAGCCGCGCATGGCGGAACTCCAGCCACACCCTGGCTCCGACCAGAGCGCGGAAGATGCCCAGGCTGCTGGCCGGTCGTTTCCCCTCCAGGGCCACCTTCTTCGCCCTGTGCATGGCGAGCTTGGCGTAGCCGACGAGCACGTTGACCAGCCCCTGAAGATGTTGGGGTCTGTCGCCCTTTTGGTATCAAAAGATGAGGACCGTCGGGGAGAAGTGGAGGCTGAACTTTAGGAGGATGTTTTTGAGGACCTTGAACAACAAGTCCAGGCTCTTGCACTCCACGTATTGGTGCTCCACCATCTCCACTTTACCGCAGAACCGGCACTCCGGGGACGTGTCGGTGAAGCGCGCCAGGGAGGCGTTAGTGGTGACGGTGCCGTGGGCGATGCTCCAGCTGAGGCCACCGATGCGGTTGTACGTCGGGCTGGAGTAGAGTTGCCTCCAGCGAGGCCTCTCCGGAGAGATGCAGGGCAGGGCTTTCCTCCAGGCATGGTCCTTGTGGTTCCTCAGGGTGTCCTGTTGGTGAAACCGGATCATGTAGGAGTAGAGCACCTTCCTCTTTACATTTTTGAAGGCCACCTCCAATAGGTCTCCCAGCCGGCACAGGTTGTGATCCGCCTTCGCTTGTCGGCATTGGCGATGCAGCGGCACGACGGAGAGCTCCGGTGCAGGGGGACCGTGAGGGGCCTCGTCATCCCCAACGCCGATGGGGGGCGTTCTCCCCGCTCCCGCTGAGAAGGCTCCCTTGGCTTCGGCCAGGATCCGGGCAGCCACCCGGAGCGACTGCAGTCCTGTCTTTGCGGCCATGTCTGCTGGTCCGAGCCACCGGCCTCGTGTTCCAGGCTCCACCAGATCTCCCATCCTGGTGAGGCGCCTCTCCATGCCGGGGGTGGCGGTGGTGGATGGCAGCTTTGTCTGCGGGTTCCTGAGGATCGGTTCGAAGACCAGATCTTCGGCCCATCGCGCTTGGTTCAGCCTCCTGACGGCGAGGGAGCTCCATGTCTGCAGGACGCTCCTGTAGAAAGGTGGCAGCTGTCCCAGTGGGAGGCCCTGCAGGTCCAAGTAGAATAGTTGTTTGGAGCACTGCAGACCCCCCAGCTGTTTCAGGAGGAAGGAGGCCGTGACGCTCCAGGCAGGTGCAGGGGGTGGCGTGCCGGAACTTTTGTGCGGCCTGCAGTCGGAAGGTGGCCAGCTGACTCCGCACGCAAACCAGCCCGTGACCGCCCTCGTCCAGTGCCAGGGACAGGACCCCAGCCGCTCCTTCACCTTCTCCTCCAGCTCGACCCAGTTCCTTTGCGGTGGTTCCTCTGTATGGCCCGCGAATGATGTTATAAATATCCAAATGGCCCTTGGATCTAACCCCCCAAGAAACCTGTGTTGTGGATGATATTGGTCGCGAAAGTCTCCTACGTGATAAACTTTCGCTTAAACTCCCTGAATTCCTGGAGCGCTGCCAAACTTCGATTGCAGCTTTCTCCCTCCCCTCCCTTCCCTCCCTTCTCTCCCTCCCCTCCCTCCCTTCTCTCCCTCCCCTCCCGTCCTCCCTCCCTCCCATCCCTCCCTCCCCTCCCCTCCCTGCCTCCCTCCCCTCCCTGCCTCCCTCCCCTCACTCCTTTCCTCCCTTCTCTCCCTCCCCTCCCCTCCCTGCCTCCCTCCCTCCCCTCCCTCCCCTTTATTTTATTTTTTACCATCAGTGGAAACAAGAAGATGCTCGGTGTAGTCAGCACTTTGCTTCGTTCATCATTTCGTAATTTTTTTTTACATTTTTAAACTTTGCTTTATGTAAACCCCCCCCTTCTCTTCCTCCCCTCCCTGTCTCCCTCCCTTCCCTTCTCTCCCTCCCCTCCTCCCTCCCCTCCCTCCCTCGACCTCCTTCTACCAACATCGCGTGAGAAGAACATGACAACTCTCCTACGATTCGCTCGCAACAAGAGAGAGAGAGAGCGAGCGAGCGAGCGAGAAGTGGTGGCGGCTTGCTGTTGGTTGGGTTCGTGCTGGGGGGGGGTGGGTGGTGATGTAACGTTGCCTCCGCGTTCATTACAATGCACAAAACTACAAACCTCCCTTCCCCTCTCCGTCTTTGCGTGGTGCCGTCGGGGAACCGGAGCTTCTCAAGGACCTAGCCCCGGATCGTCGCTCGCAGACGGACAAGCGCGCACGCGTGCCCGTGCATTATTAAGAAGCACGGTTGGCTACGTACGGCGCGAAAGAAGTTTCGGCACGCAAGTCACACGTTGCAACGACCCATTTCTTTTCTCAGACGGACAACTTTCGCCCTGAGATTTTTGTTTTAGGGGGGGGGGGAGGGTTTGAGAAGATCTTCGCTTGGCGCGGCGCCTTTCACCGTTGAAGCGATCGTTTAGCGCGGGTGAGACTTTTCGATACTTTTGTCAAAACAGGGGGTGGGGGGGGGGGAGTTTGCTACCCGTCGGAGGCCGTTGGACTGCGAGAAGGGCTGCGTGCAGAACGAGAGTGAGCGAGAGAGTGAGCGAGAGAGAGTGAGCGAGAGTGAGCGATAGAGAGTGAGCGATAGAGAGAGCGATAGTGAGCGATAGTGAGTGATAGAGAGTGAGCGAGAGAGAGTGAGCGATAGAGAGTGAGCGAGACAGAGAGCGATAGTGAGCGATAGTGAGCGATAGAGAGTGAGCGATAGAGAGTGAGCGAGAGAGTGAGCGAGAGAGTGAGCGAGAGAGAGTGAGCGATAGAGAGTGAGCGAGACAGAGTGAGCGAGAGAGTGAGCGAGAGAGAGTGAGCGATAGAGAGTGAGCGATAGAGAGTGAGCGAGACAGAGTGAGCGAGAGAGTGAGCGAGAGAGAGTGAGCGATAGAGTGTGAGCGATAGAGAGTGAGCGAGACAGAGAGCGATAGAGAGTGAGCGAGAGAGTGAGCGATAGAGAGTGAGCGATAGAGAGTGAGCGAGAGAGTGAGCGATAGAGAGTGAGCGAGATAGAGTGAGCGATAGAGAGTGAGCGAGAGAGTGAGCGATAGAGAGTGAGCGAGACAGAGAGCGATAGAGAGTGAGCGATAGAGAGTGAGCGAGATAGAGTGAGCGAGATAGAGTGAGCGAGAGAGAGTGAGCGAGAGAGTGAGCGAGAGAGTGAGAGGTGGGGGTTTACATTAAGCAAAGTTAAAAAATGTAAAACATTTTTTTACGAAATGATAAACGAAGCAAAGTGCCGACTACACCGAGCATCTTCTTGTTTCCACTGATCGTAAAAACAAAAGCGTGGGGGAGCGGTGGTGCAGCGGTTAGCGCGCTGCGCTATGAACCCGGTGACACGGGTTCGATTCCTGCTCAAGGTCAACACCAGTGACGATTATCTGAACCGGTCCCGGGCCTCCCCTAGGTCGACTCAGCCTCAAATGAGTACCTGGTGCGGTGTAAAACATCGCCACCGGGGAGACAAAGGCGGCCGGGCGTGGTGCTGGCCACCCACCCCCTCGTGTACCGTGCCGGTTGTAAATGTTGTGGATTTGTTCTTAAAACACAATCGATGATGCTGTACCAGTGACGAATTGGCCACGTTCTGTTCACGTGACAAACCCTTTAATTTGCTGTTGGTGGCGGGTTTCACGACACGTGTTTATATATTTACGCGATCTAAGGGGCCGTCCATAAATGACGTCACGCACCTAGGGGGGTTGGGGGGGGGGTCAGATATTTGTGACGATGTGTGACGAAGGGGGGGGGGGGGTGAGAAATGTGACGTCACATCAAAATGCGCAACTTTAAATAAATATAGACAACACGTTCTACTTAGTGAAATAGACTTTTTAATAAATGTTTTCTCCTACAACATCAGAGTGCAGAGCCACATTAAACACGCACTACAATGACAATAATTTAAAGCGATTTGAAGCATGTTTTATTTTCAAAATAGAAATATGGTTTTTGGGGGGGGGGGCAGAGCTTTGTGACGTCATATTTGAGGGGGGGGGGTCTGACTTTTTGTGACTCCGTGTGACAAAGGTGGGGGGGATGGGGTAAAAAAATCGTCCAAAATCGCGTGACGTCATTTATGGACGGCCCCTTATGCCGTTCCTAAGTGTGCCGTGTTAGCACGCTCTCTGCCCGCTGTCTCGAATGTCCAAACGAGGAGGAGGTGGGTGGTTGGGGGGGTCCCTGGGTGGGTGGGTGGGGGGCCCACGTTCTCGAAGCTGCTTCGTCATTCACGATGGACTGTGTCGCTTTAAAAAAAAAATTCAGGTGATGGTTGAGTGTCGTATTCGTGCCCGTGTTGTGGCTGATTCGTTCACTCGCCCCATCCTGTAGTTTGCACCGCTCTCGCGAGCTTGTCCTGCTTACAACAACCACAAACAACAACAACAAACAACACGACCAAAGAGCTTGATGGCTCATCGGATTCCGCCTGCAAACTTTTCAATAAATAGTTCTGATTTAAAGACTCCCCCCACTCCCTCCCGTTGTGCGTGGATGGGCTGGGTGGGAAGCCTGGGGGTGGGGTAGTGGGGTAGTGGGGGGTGGGGGGGAGTGGGGGTGGGGGGTGGGGGGTAGGGTAGTGGGGGGTAGGGGAGTGGGGGGTGGGGGGTAGTGGGGGGTGGGGGAGTGGGGGGTGGGGGGTAGTGGGGGGTAGGGGAGTGGGGGGTGGGGGGTAGTGGGGGGTGGGGGAGTGGGGGGTGGGGGGTGGGGGAGTGGGGGGTGGGGAGTGGTGGGTGGGGGTGTGGTGGGTGGGGGAGTGGTGGGTGTTGAGAGTGGTGGGTGGTGAGAGTGGTGGGTGGGGTAGTGGGGGTGGGGGAGTGGTGGGTGGGGTAGTGGTGGGGGGGTAGTGGTGGGTGGTGAGAGTGGTGGGTGGTGAGAGTGGTGGGTGGGGTAGTGGGGGGTGGGGGTAGTGGTGGGTGGGGTAGTGGTGGGTGGTGAGAGTGGTGGGTGGGGTAGTGGTGGGGTGGGGGTAGTGGTGGGTGGGGTAGTGGTGGGGAAGTGGTGGGAGGGGAGAGTGGTGGGGTAGTGGTGGGGGGTGGGATAGTGGTGGGTGGGATAGTGGTGGGGTAGTGGGGGAGTGGGGAGTGCTAACGTCAAGGCTGCCGTGTGGAGGTTCTTTGTCTCGCGGTTTGAAGGAGGAGGAGGTGGTGGTGGTGGGGGTGGTGGGGGTGGTGTTCGTGGTTGCCGTGTGTGTGTCTACAGGGAGTGTAACTCTACTGTACTTTGAGGGCTTAGTGCTGGTGGGAGATGGGACCTTGGCACGATGGAGTGGGGTGGTTCGATGGCACTTGGCCCAGAGGTCGTTCAAGGCTACACGGGGGAGCTTTGTCTTTGTACGAGAAGGTGATCGCTGACAAGCACTTGCCCCAGAAGTTTGTCAAAGGCTACACGGGGGATCTTTGTCTTTGTACGAGGGGGTGATCACTGACAAGCACTTGCCCCAGAAGTTTGTCAAAGGCTACACGGGGGAGCTTTGTCTTTGTACGAGGGGGTGATCGATAACAGCACTTGCCCCAGAAGTTTGTCAAAGGCTACACGGGGGATCTTTGTCTTTGTACGAGGGGGTGATCGATAACAGCACTTGCCCCAGAAGTTTGTCAATGGCTACACGGGGGATCTTTGTCTTTGTACGAGGGGGTGATCGTTAACAGCACTTGCCCCAGAAGTTTGTCAAAGGCTACACGGGGGATCTTTGTCTTTGTACGAGGGGGTGATCACTAACAAGCACTTGCCCCAAAAGTATGTCAAAGGCTACACGGGGGATCTTTGTCTTTGTACGAGGGGGTGATCACTGACAAGCACTTGCCCCAAAAGTTTGTCAAAGGCTACACGGGGGAGCCTCCCCAACAAGCAGCTGATGATGAGAAATGCATTTTTCTCGTAAAAACACATTTCTAACAATTGGTAATAGGGTTTTCCCCTTTGGCAACAAAACAGTCGTGTTAAGATTTTAAGACACCAAACTGAAACCTTTTACAAGGAATCATGTCTGCATTAACCACAATGCGTGTGGTCAGAAATCAAACAAAAAACATACTTTGATAATAGATGCATTGTCCTTGAAACTGACTGGTCCACACCAGAGACCGCTTTCTTCATAGCCTCGTCTCAAGCAGTGTTAGACCAGATGACGCCAAAAGGCGCACTGGTCCAACCCATGTGAGACTAGGCTCTAAGGAAAGCTGTCTCGGGTGTGGACCAATCAACTTCAAGGACAGTGCATACATTATCAGAGTTATGTCTTTTGTTTGTATTATGACTGCAGGTATTGTGGTGTATGCAAACATGACTCCTTGTAAAAAGATGTCAGTTTTCGGTGCCAGATAGAAGGGTAAAAAACCAATTATCATATTTTTACTGGCAAATGAGGTTCCCATAGTGTAAACACTGGTTTACTTTTGCCCGGTGTGTGTGTATGTGTTGTGTTTTTTATTTTACTTTTTATTTCAGCTCCAGGCAAGGAGGCATGTCGGGCCGAGGCGGCAACACGGCCGAAGGGTCGGCGACAAGGCCCGGCCATGGGCCTCCGTCGGGCCCAGCGGACGGTCCGCCCACGCACCTGCAGCGGCCCCGCTTGGGCTACGTGGAGGGCATCCCCATGGCGGAGGTGTTCTTCCAAGACTGGGAGGAGAAGAGCGCCTTCCGTGCACAGCCCGAGGACATCGTCATCTCCACCTACCCCAAATCAGGTTGACGAGCACCGTTGCAGCGTCGTCATCGTTATCGTCATCGTCATCTTCTTCGTCGTATTCATCATCGTCATCATCATCGTCATCGCCATCATCAACGTCGTATTCATCATCGTCATCATCAATGTCATCGTCGTCATCGTTTTTATCATTCGTCATCATCGTCGTCATCGTCGTCGTCGCCATCATCATCGTCATCATTTTCATCATCGTGATCATTGTCTTCATCATTGTCATCATCGTCGTCGTCATAATTGTCATCAGCGTCATCATCATCAGCATCATCATCATCATCATCGTTATCATCATTGTCGCCTACTCCGAATTCAACATGGGGATCTTTGTTTTTGTGTGCAAGAGTGTCCTTGTGTCAGTGAGTGTGCGTCAGTGAGTGTGTGCCAGTGAGTATCAGTGAGTGTGTCTCTGTGTGTGGAGGGGGAGTGGTAGTGTAGCGGTTAGCACGCTGTGCTATGAACCCCGCAACCAGGGTTCAATTCCCACTCACAGCCAACCGTTCCAGCCTTCATAGGTGCTCGCTAACAGCACTTGCCCCTACAGTCTGTTAAGGCTACACAGGGGATCGTTGTCTTAGTTGGCATTTGTCAGTGAGTGTGCTTCAATGAGTATGCTTAAGTGCGCTAAAATGAAGGAGCTACCAGTTTTTCAACGGTTTTACTTAACTTGATTCCTCTGTCTGTCTGGGTCAAATCTTGTAATCAAAATTTCGTCCACTTCCCGTTGCCCAATCAATTCCACATTTTGCACACATACTTAGACCCGGTGACAATGCATGCCTGTATCAAATCGGCATCAATAATCAATTAATTCGCTACTTTAAAGCAATTCACATTTTAAAGCAATCTGTATGGACGCCTTATTATTTATTATTTTTTTCTCAGTCAGCCATGTGGCCCCCTGCCAGCGAGGCCTTCGACGCCTCACGCGATCGCCTCAAAGTGCACCTGGCCTGGGCACAGGCGCCGCGGCGACGCCACCGTCACTCCGTGGCGAGCGGCGGCCGCGTTGGCATCGGTCGGTGCGAGAGCCCGTCTCGTGGGCGAGGGTGGTACACGCGCGCGTCCACAGCGTGGCAACCTCGGCGCCGCGTCTTCCCGTCGTTTTTGCCGCCCCGCCCGCAGGGACGACGTGGCTCCAGGAGATTGTGGACGCCATCCTTGGTCGCGGGGACGTCGAGCGCTGTAAGCGAGCGCCCACCGACAAGCGGGTGCCCTTCCTCGAGATGTCGGCGGTGCCCGACTTCAGCATTCTCAGCGGTGCGATGCCGTCCTCCTTCCACCGGGGTTGCCACCTGTCCTGGATTTTACTGAGGATCGTTCTTTCGTCCAAAGCACGGAGCTGCCAGGGTTAGGGTTGGAGTTGCCACCTGTTCAGGTTTACCCAGTATTGTCCTCTCCTCCAAAGCATGGGGGTCCCAGGGTTAGGGTTGGGGTTTCCACCCGTCCTGGGTTTCTCAGGGTCGTCACTTTTGTTGTTGTTGATGTTGTTGCTGTTATCGTTGTTGAGAGTGAAGCGTTTGTGCTGCAGGGATTGATCAGATTGAGCAGCTTCCATCTCCCCGAGTCATCAAAACGCACCTCCCCTACCAGCTGGTGCCCAAATCATTCTGGGACAATAACTCCAAGGTCCATTAATTCATTCATTCTCTCATGGTTTCATTCACCCACCCACACTCACCCACCCACCCACACTCACCCACCCACCCACACTCACCCACCCACCCACACTCAACAACAACAACAACAACTGCCATTAGCCACTAAGTGGCGGTGACGTCACCACGACGCTTGTGCCAGACCATGTTCACCTTGAGGCCACGTAAAGTGTCGAAGGCCCGCTGGCAGGAGGTCACGGGGCAGACCCAGGTGCCACGGGTCGACTGACTGAGATGACCGAGATGACAGAGGACATCCTTGTTGCACCCCAAGGTGTACAGGGAATGGCTCTGACTCCCGGCCACGTAGTTTTACCCGGGCCCGCTCACCATCATGAAGGTCCTTAATGATCGTGAGCAGAAGGTCAGGGACTCCGAAAGCACGACGAACAACCCAGAGCCCAGGCCTATTGATGGTATCATAGGCCTTGACCAGGTCAATAAAGCAGAGATGTAGGTCGTGTTGGAATTCCCTACACCTCTGCTGTAGCAGACGGACAGAAAATATGGCATCTGTGCAGGACCGCCTTTTCCTGAAACCGCATTGGGGCTCCACAAGCCTCTCCTCAGCGTGCCGAGCAAGGCGATGTTGAATAATCCTTCCCAGCACATTGAGGAGTGAGATGCCCCTGTAGTTGTTACAGTCTGTGCGATCGCCCTTCTTAAAGAGGGGGACCACCAGGGCATCCTTCAAATCCTGCGGAACCCGTTCAGTGGTCAAGACTTGTTATGATGTTATATAGGGCAGTCTGTGCAGAAACGCCACTCTCCCTCAGAATTTCACTTGGAGAGGTCTGGACCACGTACCCAAAGCAGCCACTGCAGCTACATGAGTCACAGTCCTAAACCTCGCCCATTTACCCTCGACATCAGGAGGAGTGGGGGACGATGCCAACCCCAGCCGCAAGCGATGATGAAATTCTCGCTTGCAACTTTCATCAGCTAACTGAGACCAGGCCACTTTAGGTTGGAATTGGGTCCTGGGTGTACACCCACCACCGGAGTGTAAGAATGGCAGGCGCATCTTGCAGATGACTAGTCGATGATCAGAGAGCAGATCAGCTCCACGGTAGGTCCTGGTGTCAAGAACATGGGCTCGCATCCGCTGGTCCGTCACTATGTAGTCCAGCAGATGTTCTTGCTTGGACCCGGCATGCATCCATGATGTTGTGTGGATGCGCCGATGCCGGAAGAGCATGTTGGTAATTACAAGCCCATGGGCTGCACACAAATCTAGCAGCCTCCTACCATTGTTATTGAGCTGATCTGGCCCATGCCCTCCAATCACTCCAGACCAGGTGCCAACATCATGACCAACTCGGGCATTGAAGTCACCCAACAAGATGACTCTATCCCGAATGGACACTTTAGCCAGCACCTGTGACAGGAGGTCATAGAAGGCATCTGACTCATCGGCTTTGCCTGCATCCCTCCATGGATGTTCGTCTTCGGTGGGGGCATAAGTAACCATGACCACCACTCCTCGCCTCTGGTTGATGGGAAGGCGAGCCCAAAGTAGCCTGGGGCTTACATCTTCCCACACCTCACCGCCACGTTCCCATGCCCCCTTAATTCTTTTGTTCAGAAGAGCCACTCCCTGTTGTTTGGCAGTCTCCTGCCCCACCCACACTCACCCACCGATACAGATACACACCCACCCACACTCACTCACTCACCCACCCACCCACACTCACCCACACTCACCCACCGATACACATAGACATACACACTCACCCACACTCACCCACCCACACTCACCCACCGATCGACATACACACTCACCCACACTCACCCACCCACACTCACCCACCGATAGACATACACACTCACCCACCCACACTCACCCACCCACACTCACCCACCGATAGATATACACACTCTCCCACCCACACTCACCCACCCACACTCACCCACCGATACACATAGACGTACACACTCACCCACACTCACCCACCCACACTCACCCACCGATAGACATACACACTCACCCACCCACACTCACCCACCCACACTCACCCACTGATACACATAGACGTACACACTCACCCACACTCACCCACCCACACTCACCCACCGATCGACATACACACTCACTCACCCACCGATACACATAGACATACACACTCACTCACCCACCGATACACATAAACATCCACATTCACCCACCCACACCCACCCACCCGCACCCACACCTGACGCGGCCGTGTTGACGTCGCCTTCCCCTTGACGCCGCAGGTCATCTACCTGGCCCGCAACGCCAAGGACGTGATGGTGTCGTGCTTCTACTTCGCGAAGATGAACTTCGGACAACCGGACCCCGGTACCTGGGACGAGTACTTCCGTACGCACCTGGACGGCGCAGGTAAACTCGAGTCCCGGTCAGAGGTCGCAAACGGGTTTTGATTCCTTACCCGTACCCGTACCCGGCCGCACCAGGGTCGCAAACGGGTACCCGTACCCGGCCGGGGAACGGGTACCCGTACGCTACCCGATACCCGGCTACCCATACCCGGCCGGGTACGGGTAGCCGTTCCCTACCCGTACCCGTACCCTACCCGAAATGAGTGACAAACGGTTACACACCGGTGACTCACGGCCTACCCGTACCCGGCCGCACCAGGGTCGCAAACGGCTATCCGTACCCGGCCGGGTACGGGTAGCCGGGTATCGGGTAGGGTACGGGTATCGGGTACCCGGTTGCGACCTCTGGTCCCGGTGCTCCGTTGTCTCAGCCGCGGAGCCTCAACCCCAGCCACCGCCTCCCCCTCTAAAACTCAACGAGATTTATATTTGTAATTGTTACCAGGTAAGGCCCCCGCTAAGCTGTAGACCTAGGGGGAGGCCCAGCAGCAGTTCAGATATTTGCCACTGATGTTGGCCGTGAGTGGGAATCGATCTCGGGTCGCCGGGTGCATGGCACGGGGGCGGGGGAAGGGGTCACATTGGCCTTGTTGGAGACTAAAAACGTTTTATTTGTACCAGGTATGGCCCCACCGAGCTGTGTAACATCTTGTTTCAGAAGCGAGCTTGCCGTCACAAATGATAGCTCAACGAAGTGAGTGGCTGATCGTCATTGCGTGGAAATGTATAGCAGCGCAAATACTCTAAACGTGTGACGTTGATTCTAAATGTGGAGGGAAAAACCGGAGGGCCCGGAGAAAAATCCACGTTACCACGGGGTGAAAGAGAGACGCAAACTCCAAATATACAGCAGTCGTCGGGTTGGGAATTGAACCCACGACCTCCTGTATACCAGGCGAGGTAGTTAACATCTCCTAGCCACCGCAGGGCTTGTTGCAAGAACGACCACAGCCCAAGACCGTGGACAGTAGTGGCAGTTACATAGAGACCTGTAGAGTTACTTAGAGACCCATAGAGTTACGTAGAGACTCATAGAGTTAAATAGAGAGTTATAGAGATCCATAGAGAATCATATCGTTACAGTACATACAGACGCATAGAGTTACTTTAGAAATCTATAGAGTTACATCGGGATGTACATAATTACATAGAGATCCGTAGATTTACAGAGATTAATAGAATGGTACAGAGATTCATAGAGTTACATAGAGACCCGTAGAATTACGTAGAGACCAATATATTTACACACAGACCCATAGAGCTAATTGAGAGATCTGCAGAGTTACATAGCGATCCACATAATTACATAGAGATCCATAGATTGACAGAGATTCATAGAGTGGCACGGAGATTCATAGAGTTACATAGAGACCCATAGACCCATCGACCCATCGACTCAGGCTTTATTACTGTAGCTGGTGAGGCCCCATTGGGCTCAGCAGTGCCATAGGGAGCGGTGGTGCAGCGGTTAGCACGCCATGCTACGAACCCGGCTACCCGAGTTCGATTCCCGCTCACGGGGGCCCTAGATCGACTCGGCCTTAAATGAGTACGCATACCTGGTGCGGTGTGAAAATCAGCACTGGGGATACAGAGGCTGTCGGACGCTCACTAACAGCACTTGCCCCAGCAGTCCGCTAAGGCTACACGGGGCATATTTGTCTTTTGTGTGCAGTCCCGTGGGGGTGCTGGTGGGATCACGTGCTCGGGTATTGGGACAAGAGGGAGCATCACCGCATCCTCTACCTCCTCTACGAAGACATGAAGGAGGTGCTGGCTCATTCATTCATTCATTCGTCCGTTGTGATCAACTCAGCCCGCTCATTTAATCACTTGCTTAGTCACTCGTTAGCTCAGCTGATTGGCTTGGTCACTCACTCATTCATTCGTTCAGTCACTTGCTCAGTCACTCGTTAGCTCAGCTGATTGGCTCGGTCACTCACTCATTCACTCATTCAATCACTTGCTTAGTCACTCACTAGTGAACTCAGTTAATCAGTCATTCGCTCATTCGGTAAATAATGAATTCACTCACTCGGTCGCTCAAATTAACCTTATGGCTGGACCCCTGGGTCCCATAAGCCCCTGGCTCTCGCCTAAACATTATATGATCATGTAAACTAAAACTTTGCTCTTTTTCACCAATATTTCTACATACGTGACTTTACCGAAAAAAACCAATGAGTATAATTTCTGCAGTCACGAAAGCTTCAATTCTAGATTAAATACATTACGATTTTGACTTCCGTTTATTCGGGACCCCGGGGTCCCACCATGAGGTTCAAATGTGCATTAAGTGGCCCAGCCACTTAATCAATCACTCAGTTGTTCACTCAATCACCCGCACGTTCACCCACTCATCCACGAACTTGCCTATCGACTCACTCATACACACGGCCACTCACCTTCATAGCAGAGGTCGCAACCGGGTACCCGATACCCGTACCCTACCCAATACCCGGTGGCCGTTTGCGACCCTGGTGCGGCCGGGTACGGGTAGGCCGTGAGTCACTGGTGAGTCACCGTTTGTCACTCATTTCGGGTAGGGTACGGGTAGGGAACGGGTACCCGTACCCGGCCGGGTACGGGTACCCGTTTGCGACTCTGGTGCGGCCGGGTACGGATACGGGTAAGGAATCAAAACCCGTTTGCGACCTCTGCTTCATAGGTGCTGCTCGCTAACAGCACTTGCCCCAACGGCCTGTTGAAGCCTATATTGGGGACCTTTGTCTTTGTTGCGTGGTTCTCAATGGCATCGGCTCAGTGTGGTGACGATTATTCGAACCGGTCCTGAGCCTTCCCTAGGTCCACTCAGCCTCAAACGAGTACCTGGTGCAGTGCGTAAACATCGCCATTAGGGAGACAAAGGCGGCCGGGCGTGGTGCTGGCCACCCACCCCCTCGTGTGCCGTGCCGACCTTCACAGGTGCTCGCTAACAGCACTTGCCCCAACAGTTTGTTGAGGCTATGAGAGAGGTCTTTGTTTTCATTGTTTGTGGTGGTGGTGGTGATGATGGTAATAGTGATGGTAATGGCAGTAAAGGTAGTGGTTGATGGTAGTGATAATGATCATTGTTAATATGCTTGTTTACCCAGGAAAGCCTCACGGGGTCTCATGACTGCTCGGTATTTAAAGCAGCGGGTGACCGTGAGAGCGTTCGTGGACATAGTGGTGGTAGATGGCGAGATGTTAACTACCTTGCCTGGTATACAGGAGGCCGGCCGTGGTGCTGGCCACCCACCAGAGGTCGCAAACGGGTTTTGATTCCTTACCCGTACCCGGCCGTATTAGGGTCGCAAATGGGTACCCGTACCCATACCCGGCCGGGTACGAGTAGCCGTTCCCTACCCGAAATGAGTGACAAACGATTACTCACCAGTGACTCACGGCCTACCCGTACCCGTACCCGGCCGCACCAGGGTACGGGTAGCCGGGTATCGGGTAGGGTACGGGTATCAGGTACCCGGTTGCGACCACTGCCACCCACCCCTTCGCGTGCCGAGAAGGCCTTCATAGGTGCTACTTGCTACGAGCAGCACTTTGCCCCAGCAGTTGTGCTTGAGGCTATACGGGGGATCTTTGCCTTTTGCGTGTTGCAGAACCCCAGAGCTGCAGTGGAGCAGGTGGCCGAGTTCCTGGAGGTCCGCCTGCCGGAGGAGGCGCTGGAGAAGATTGTCCACCACACGAGCTTTGAGCAGATGAGGGACAATCCCATGGCGAACTACACTTCGCTGCCCAGCTGCGTCATGGACCACTCCGTGTCGCCCTTCATGCGCAAAGGTGCAGCGCTCGGTTGTGTCCAACGTGGTCGCTGCCGTCGTTGTTATTGCCACCGTCATCATCATGACTGCCGTCATCGTTGTCGTTGTCGTCATCAACGCTGCCATCATAATCAACGCCGTCGTCATCATCATCACGATCGTCATCATCATCATCATCACTATCGTCATTGTCATCATCATTACTATTATCATCATCAATATCATCATCATTATCATCATCACATCATCATCAACACTATGATCATCATCATCACTATCGTCATCATCATCAGCACTATGATCATCATCACCACGATCGTCATCGTTATCATCATCACTATCATCACCACCGTCACCGTCATCACCGTCGTGGTTGTGACCGTGCTCCATGCGTGGCGGCAGGCTCGGTGGGTGACTGGCGGAACCACTTCACGGTGGCGCAGAACGAGGAGTTTGACGAGGTGTACGCAAAGAGGATGGCCGGCACCTCCCTCTCCTTCCGACACGACCTGCCGCAGGGGCTCGCGGGGCGGGCGGCGGTGGATTCTTGAATCCATCCGTGCGGGGTCTTCTCCGCCACTCCACCCCTCCTACCCCCACCCCAGAGGTCGCAAACGGGTTTTGATTCCTTACCCGTACCCGGCCGCACCAGGGTCGCAAACGCGTAACCCGTACCCGGCCGGGTATGGGTACCCGTACGCTACCCGTACCCGTACCCTACCCGAAATGAGTGACAAACGGTTACTCACCGGTGACTCACGGCCTACCCGTACCCGTACCCGGCCGCACCAGGGTCGCAAACGGCCGGGTATGGGTAGCCGGGTATCGGGTAGGGTACGGGTTATCGGGTACCCGGTTGCGACCTCTGCCCCACCCTCTGTCGTGATCGTAGGATTTTCTTCTGGGGGGCACGCGATTGGTTTTACTTCCCAGGCCGCTCGGGAGGATATGAGTTTGATCGAAACATTCCAGTGGAGCGGCACTAATCCGGAAAAACGATCCTTGAGACTCACTGAAGATTTCGTGGGTTAAAAAGGAAATTGTAATTATTGCTCTTTATCGCGACGGTTGTTATTCATAACACAGGTTGTTGTTTTTTAGGGGGGGGGTTAGATCGCGTAAATATAAATGCGTCGTTAAAGCCCGCCACCACCTTTCACGGCCGATTGAACAGCCAAGTAAATGGAACGTGGCCATCTTCCACGTAGAATGGAAATAATAAAATAATAAAAATAAAACATAATAAAATAATTCTCACGACGTTTCGGCGACAACGCAAGCAGCCGTCCTCAGGTGGAGAACAGGTCTGTCGAGAAGACAGAGTCTGAATGAAACACCCCAGGCTTGGAGCGACTATTTAAGCTGGGATGGAGGGGGGAAGAGCGCCTTGACAAAATAATTTGCATGTCAAGAGGAATTTAGCATAATTATGGGAAATGCAGATATGCGATTAGTACTACTTGTAAAATAAGTAGGAGGTGGCCAATTCGTTACTAGCGTAGCGGCATCGTTGAGTGCTGTACGCGATTGCCACGACTCGTGGCCTGTAATAACGGCCTCGAGTCAACAGGGGGCAGAAGGGAGTCTAATGGTGATGAGTCAGGCCGTTGGGCCAACGTTATCCCCCAGACTCCCAGGAAGGGGGCTGGGCAGAGGTCACAACCGGGTACCCGATACCCGTACCCTACCCGATACCCGGCTACCCGTACCCTACCCGTACCTGGCCGGGTAGCCGTACCCGGCCGGGTACCCGTTTGCGATCCTGGTGCGGCCGGGTACGGGTACGGGTAGGCCGTGAGTCACTGGTGAGTCACCGTTTGTCACTCATTTCCCAACGTCTTGTCTCTTCTCACAATTCAAGTTCCTAGAATCAACCCACCCGCGCCTGCAACATGGCTTCATCCCAGAGGTCGCAATCAGGTACCCGATACCCTACCCGATACCCGGCCGGGTACGGGTAGGGTACGGGTACGGGTACCCGTTTGTGACCCTGGTGCGGCCGGGTACGGGTAAGGAATCAAAACCCGTTTGCGACCTCTGGGGCTGGGGGATCACGTCACTCCCCAGGCCCCTCCAGACGGTTCCAGAAGGGAGGAGTGGCCAGGGGCAGAATGAGCCAGAATCCGGTATAAAAGACGGTCCCCTGAACGGGACCGCAGTCGTCGTTTACCTGAAGACTCAAGAGCCACCTTGGAGCTGCCACCTTGAAGTCCCGAAGCGAAGAGCCCAAAGTGCTGAACCTGAACCCCTGGCTAGGGTCGGGTCAAAGCTTAACCAGTGAAGAGGTTAGAGCGTAACCAGTGTTAGGGCAGGCTAGCCTGGAGGGAATACCTCCCTAGGTATCGGGTGGAAGGGGCCCGTACCCCTTTGTGTTATTGTAATGTTGTGCTGCCTCGGGAAGAATGAAGTCTACTAATAGGGGTTTTCCCCTTTTTTCTGGCAACACAACTGACACCTTTTGCAAGGAATCATGCTTACATTAACCACAATACTTGCAGTCAAATGCAAACAAAAAACAATACTCTGATCATTTATGCATTGTCTTTGAAACTGATTGGTCCACACCAGAGACAGCTTTCTTTAGAGCCTAGTCTCATATGGTGTTCGACCAGATGACGCCAAAAGGCGCACAGTTCAAAGACAACGCAATACCAGAGTAATGAGAGTTTGGGGTGAGAGGTCCCATGATGAAAGAGTGAAGTCCTCTCAAGTTTGTACCCACTACACTAGTACAGCAAATCCACAACATTTACAATGTTTCCTCTCCAACGCACAACCGGTGTGCCGTTCTAGTAACGAATTGGCCACGTTCTGTTGACCTGACGGAACCTTCACTAATTTGGCCGCGTCGGGTGGTGGCGAGTTTAACGACACAACAAATATATTTACGCGATCTGACTCCTTCCCCCCCTCCAAAAAAAATAAACCTGTTATGGTCGATAACCATCCAGAACGTTGTCGTGTGAGCGGTTCCATGGAGGGGGACGAAACGGGTTTATAAGGCGCATGTGTCCACCCCCACCTCCTCCTCCCCCTAGTTTCTGGTGTATCGCTCACCCTTACACCCTCAAATTATAGGCCGTGACGATATTTTTTTATATATGCATCATTATCAATGTTGATTTCCTGCTATTAAACAACGATTACTAACAAAACCGGCGGCGTTTCCTGCTGACTTTGCCGGGATGCTCGGTGGGCGAAGGTGATTAATTTTTATTTATTTATCCAAAACATGACGTCACCGGAAGTCACGTGCGGCTTCCTGTGACACGACTTGCCTTCATTTTTTTTCATATCCCCCGTCATAATCGGTGTCACGTGGCCTCGGGTGACGTCGCTTTCGCGAGCACGAAGACGGCGTTCGATCACTCGGTAACGCCAACGATCCGAAAATCCAACAAAAATAATAATCGAAAGCGGTCTTTAGAAAGAAAAAAAAAACTACTACGACAAATTAAAATTTTGGAGGACGTGGAGCCGATAGGACTTGCAGATGACCGGCACCGGATAGAGAGGGCTAAACGGGCACGGCACGAACTAGAGAAGAGATGGCGTGATGCGGTGCAAAAGGATATGGAGCTGAGTGGACTTTTTAATAACTGGTACCAGTGGTGTCAACATCGGCCTCTGTGGAGGAGGAGGCTCGTGAAGGACGCTGCTACTGGGCGATTGGAAGCAGTCGCCCTCCAACAACAACAGAGGGCATAGAAGCGACGCTCACAACAACGGGCAGAGCGCTGGGTGGCTAAAATGCAGAGGTGCCACAGTGGGGGAGTACAGGCTGGTGCATCTGCCAGTCATCTCAGTTAACCCAAAGCATCTGGGTCTCTCCCATGAGCTGTCAACGAACCTTGTACAATTCACGTGATAGCTTTCAAGGTGCACCTAGCCTGGCATAGGTGCCGTGGTGACGTTACCACCACTTAGTCGCGAACGTTGGCTGAGTTGTGTTGTTGTTGTGACCTGAAGCGTGGTGATCGAACCGAGTGTATGTATGTTGAACTTCTAGATTTGAGGTTTTTGTGACTGCAAGGATCCATACTCTTTGGTTCTTTCGGTAAAGTCACGTAGGTGAAAATAAAAATAAAATGAAAATAACTAAATTAAATCACGACGTTTCAGAACCAACACAAGCCTCCGTCATCAGGACAGCCACAGCAAATTATTTCTTGCTGTGGCTGGTTACCTGATGACGGAGGCTTGTGTTGCTTCCGAAACGTCGTGATTTAATTTAGTTATTTTCATTTTATTTTCACCTACGTGACTTTACCGAAAGAACCAAAGAGTACGTTGAACTTCTTTCACACCGTACACAGCCAACCGTGCTAATCGGAGGTGCGAGGAGAAGTACAACAAACTCAACACAAAAAGCTGCCCCCAAGAAATGAGTTTTAAATCAACTCGATGTATTCAAAGTGCACAACTCCAGCGGCTTCCTAATAAATGAAGGGAAGAGCGTTCCAGACGGCCGCAGAAGCGCATCTGAAAGCGCCGTGTGACGATGCGGTGAACGCCGCCGTCTTTGTTCGACGGCTCAGCCAAAAGCCGCCGCCGCTGCTGCTGCTGCTTCGAGGATGACCGCAGTTCGCGTGATGATGGTTCGTGCTCCTCGACGAGATCGGCGAGATAATTGGTGGTTCATTTGTGGCAAGCGGCTTTGTGTGTGTGTATATCGAGTGCGACCTTTGCAGGGGCGTGCAAAGGGCCGGGGAATGGGTGACCACGATAGAGGGGGGTGCGTAGGGGATAGCGAAGGGTAGGGGAGGAGCTGGAAGGGGTGGAGGTGCGAGGTGAGATAAGGGAATGGGCGATGTGCAAAAATAAGAAGAGGTTTTACCCCTTTCTGGCAATAAAACAGGAGGTGTTGGGATGTTCAAACACCAAATAGAAAATTCTAGATTTGAAGCTTTCGTGACTGCAAGGATTTATATTCTTAGGTTTTTTCGGTAAAGGCACGTAGGTAAAAAATAAAAATAAAAATTATTTCCTTTTTTCTTTTTACTTTTATTCATTTTAATTTTTTACCTATGTGACTTTACCGAAAAAACCTAAGAATACCAAATAGAAAACTTATGCAAGGAATCAATCAGTTTCAAAGACAATGCTTTATCAGGTAATGTGTGCGTGTTCACCACAAGCACTGGATGTGGTTGCTGCAGAACGTGATTCCCTGCAAAAAGTTTATAACTTATTTGGTGTTTGAACATCTTAACACCTCCTGTTTTATTGGCAGAAACGGTAAAACCTATTATTCTTTTTTCATACTTTGAAATTGGCAAAAAAGGTCCCATGATCAAATGGTCACTAGTAGTCGTAATAGTTAGCGACTGAACGGCAGCAACATGCAAACGACTACAAGCGAATTAGCCGAGCGCGCCAAGACTCCCGTCAGATTAAGAAAACAATGTCCAGAGAAAGAAATCCACCGGCAGACAGCGAGACATTTTTTTTGGTGACTTTTATTGCAATAAAAAAAAAAATTCTCGCAAAAGCGCGTGTACAAATGTGCACCCCCTCCAATCCCCCCACCCCACCCACTCTACCACTACCTAATCCCTGAAGCCCCCCCCCCCATCCTGCCACCTCCCCACCCGCCCCCCCACTCGGGCTCACGTGGCAAGGACTCGACTTGAACCCCGCGCGCGAATAACCAGAGAGAGAGAGAAACGGGAAGGATAATGTGAAGGCACCGGACAATCAATTTTGTACCTTCCCATCACCACCCCCTTCTTCCCTGGAAGTTCGTGGTGATCAAAATGTGACCCCTGTCATATATAGCTAAGTACCGTGGCAGAGGGCAGGTGGTGACTGACCATCACACACACCAAGACACCTGTGAAAAGGTGTGTTCTATGCCGAATTGTGCCCACGTGTGTGTGTGTGTGTGTATCCTAACCTGTCTCATGCCAACTCCATCACACACACACACACCTGCATGGGACTATGCCCTCTGTCACACGGCCCTTCACGTGTGTGTGCTGTGTATAGGGATACAAAGGCGGCCGGGCATTGTGCCGGCCACCCCACCCCCTTTCGAGTGCCGTACCTGAATTCATAGGGACTGCTCGCTAACAGAACTTGCCCCAACAGCCTGATAAAGGCTATACAGGGGATCTTTGCCTGTGTCTCTGCGTGTATTGTGCAGCGTAGTGGTTAGCGCTGCACTGCGCTATGAATCATGGCCAACGCCGGTAACGATTATCTGAACCGATCTTGCCCCCCCTAGGTCGACTCAGCCTTAAATGAGTACCTGGTGCCGTGCGTAAACATCGCCACTGGGGAGACAAAGGCGACCGGGCGTAGTGCTGACCCCCCTGCCCTCCTCGTGTGCCGTGCCGGCCTTCATAGCTGTTACTCGCTAACAGCACTTGCTCCTATACAGGCTATGCGGGGGGATCGGCGTGTGTGTGTGCGTGTGTCTATCGTGTAGGCTGCGTGCGCACTTTGCAAAGCCAAGAAGCTACCTTCACGCGTTCACGCGTTCAGTGCTAAGAGACGCTAATCTACCTATCGGAGCCTTCTTCGCCATGCCAATGATTATTATTTACGCGGCGCTCGAAAAGGCTTCTGGTCCCGCGGGTGTCGACAGAACGGGTGGCAACAAACACGAAAAAAAAAAAAGCTCGGTCAGTTGTACAAATTCAAGTCCTCCAAACGTCACGTATTAATAGATGATATATATTATATAACGTGTGTTATATAACCACGATTTCAATTTGTGATGTGCCGCCGTAGCTGCACAGGTATGCGCGTGCCGCAATTCCCTCGAGCCGTACGTAGCCGAACGTGCTAATCAGAGGTGGGTGATCCGGTGTCAAATATGCCCGCTCCCCCCATCCCTTCAAGCTCTGCGGTCCTCTATATATTAAGATGTCATCGGCCAATTAATGAGTGTTTAGACACGCGGGAGGAAGCACCGAAGGAAACCCTAATCGTGCGAGGGAGCAATGCTCTATCCCCCATCCCTACAAGCTCTGCGGTCCTCTATATATTAAGATGTCATCGGCCAATTGATGAGTGTTTAGAACCGCGGGAGGAAGCACCAGTATAAAGCCCCACGGGTGCGAGGGAGCAACGCTCTATCCAATATAAATTGAACAAGGTGGAGTCGACACTTCCCCTGACGACCCTCGCCACTGCCGCCTCCACCACACGCAGAGCGGTGTGTCGTAGGCAGCCACGTGGACCTTAGCCACGACAACGTGTCAGCAACGAAGGACTATGACGCGACCGTCGACGAATTTACCTCGTGGCTAAATCGCGCCCATCCGCGCACGTCCCAAATTATGAGTCGCTTTTGCCCCTAAATTTAAAACACGCCGCTCTGAAAGAAACATCGGACGCGGACTGCCGCTTTTGGAGAAATTTCTGCCACCCACCCCTCCGACCGCCCAACTCAAAGCCTAACCACCCGACAGCGGTCGCTACACCCACGGGCGCGCCGCCAACCTCCCACCGCGCGCGCCTAGAACTTCCGGCCACCGATGCCCCACGCGCGGCACACGCCGCAGCCCTTGCCGCCACAGTGGTGGCAGGATTGGCGACGGCAGTGGCCGCAGCCGATGCCGCCACAGTGGTGGCAGGAGGAGCGGCCGACGGTCAGACCGCAGCCGACTTCCTCGTCACACTCAAAGCCGTGGCAGGAGGAGCGGCGGCAGTGGCCGCAGCCCTTGCCACCACAGTGGTGGCAGGGGGCGCGGCGGCGGCAGTGCCCACAGCCCTTGCCGCCACAATGGTGGCAGGTTTGGCGACGGCAATGCCCGCAGCCGATGCCGCCACAGTGGTGGCAGGAGGAGCGGCCGACGGTCAGACCGCAGCCGACTTCCTCGTCGCACTCAAAGCCGTGGCAAGAGGAGCGGCGGCAATGCCCGCAGCCCTTGCCGCCACAGTGGTGGCACGATTGGCGACGGCAATGCCCGCAGCCCTTGCCGCCACAGTGGTGGCAGGGGGCGCGGCGACGGCAATGCCCGCAGCCGATGCCGCCACAGTGGTGGCAGGAGGAGCGGCCGACGGTCAGGCCACAGCCGACTTCCTCGTCGCACTCCAAGCCGTGGCAGGAGGACCTACGGCAGTGGCCGCAGCCCTTGCCGCCACAGTGGTGGCACGATTGGCGACGGCAATGCCCGCAGCCCTTGCCGCCACAATGGTGGCACGA